CCTGGCTCCAACGCTGGGCGAGCCTGGAGGGAAGGGCTGGCAGCCCCGGGAACGTCGGGCAGCCGTGAGGGGCTGAACCGGGTCCAGCCGAGCCAGGAAAACCTCCCGGGTCATTAAAGGCTCCTGGTTCCTTGGCGAGGCTGGGGAGAGGCGCTGCTGCAGGAAGCAGCACCGGCTGCTCCGCCGATCTTTGCTCCCGGAGCAAGGTGCTGTTATTGGGGTGGGACAGACAGACGGACAGCCTGGTGGATACTCCCAAACCAGCCACACCACGGACCCCATTGGCACTGCAATCCCAGCATCCCAGCCTGCTGGATCGCCATGCCATGGGCCTCTAAAGAGCAGAGCCACCACAGGTCACATCCTCGCTGGAACCCAACATCTGCCACACAGCCCTTGTCAGCCTCATTGCCTGGCCCAGGCTGGCAGCTGTTAGAAAAGCATGTTTTTCACATTAAAATCTCCCTTGAAGAACAATGGTTTAAACCAAGCATAAAAAAAGGAAAGAATCCAAAAAGCAAAAAAAAAAAAAAAAAAGAGAAAGGAAAAAATTTTTGGTGGAGCCTAAAATCAGCCCCATGGGACCGCGAACTTCCCCTCTGCCTTGGCTGCTCCCAGGGGAAGGTGAACCATTGGGACAGCACAGCTGGGCCAGGGATGGACCACCAAGATGCCAGCAGCCTTTCTGATGCAGGGATCAACCATGGAGGGCTGGGACCACCCTCCAGCAGCTTCCCCCGGGGTGCTGAGGATGGGGCTCAGCCTGTGCCGCTGCTCCTGGGTCACCCTGGATCCCTGCCAGATGGGATCCAGCCCCACAGCCCCGAGGTGTGAGGCTCCAGGAGATGAGGTGGGGGATGTAAATCTCTCGATCTGTCTGAGCAAATTCAAAGGAGACCGATTCAAATGCGCCGTGACACGACCGGCTCGGGGCGGGCAGACAATCCCCGGCAGTGTCTGCGAGGAATCTCGCAGCTTTCCTTTGAGTGGCCTCCAATTTATTAATTAAAATAGGCAATTATATATATGATGTGGGGTGGAGGGGAGCAGGGAGACCAGCTGCACCAGTTCTTCTCACTTGGCAGGAATTGCTCTGGCTCCAGGAGGTGCTTGTGCTTCCCAGGGCTCAATGGGATGAGCTCGGGGCTGCCCCTGTGCCTCCAGCACCTGGAGAACGTGGGGGGCTTCAGCTCGGGTCCCCAATTTCTTTAGAAACACACAGGAGGAATCCTTTGAACCCCTGTCACTATAGGAGATGATATAACTCAATGTGGACATGCAGCTCTTCTGAGCTGAAAAGAAAATTTTTCACTTCTGACTCCAACTTTTATAGATTTTCCAAAAGTGACAGCAGATTGGAAGGCAGCAGTGCCACCTCTCCAATGACACTGGACAAACCAACAGCCCATCAAATTCCTCCTCCATCAAAGAATGCAAAACAATGAGTTATTTACATAAAGTGTGTGAGAAAGTTCGTTACACGAATGTCAACATCAGAAAGCTCAGAAAATCTTTAAAAAATCAGGGTGACAACACACGTCCCCTCCACTGCTCAGCCCAGGTGGGATGGTGGCTCTGAGCTGCTGGAGGAGCCTCCCAACCCCTCAAACATTGGGATTTTGCCCTGGGAGATTTTCCCCACACCCCCTTCCCGAGCGGGGTGGCCGATCTGGGAGCGGGCTGTGCCTCAGGATGACTCCATCCCACCTGGGGAGGTGTCACCTCCTCGTCAGCCCTCCCAGGTGAGTTTGCTGCAGTTCTGTCTTTCTGCAGCACCGTGGGAAAAAAATCCTCACCTGGGTGACTCAAATGCGCTCCTGAGCACACACAGCTCCCTCAGAGGCAGCAGAGGGAAGGGGGACAGGGAAACACTGAACCACCAGGTTTGGGGTGTCCCAGCAGCGTCAGAGATGGGGTGTCCATGGGATTTTTGTGCCCTTTGTGGAGAGGAATCAGAGATGGGTTTCTATGGGATTTTTGTGCCCTTTATGGGGAGGAATCATGGCTGGGGCCAAAAGAAGGGTATGGGGCTGTCTGGGAGCCTCAGCTGCCAGAAAATGGGAATTTCCTCTCCATGATCAGCACCAGCAATGAGGAATGGGCACAGTTTTTAGTCCTAACATGGGGGCAAACCCCAGCAGGTGAGTGAGGGGCTTTTGGGGGACCCTCAGCTGCTGGAGAAGGGTGATCCTCTCTCCATGGTCAGCACCAGCAATGAGGCAGGGGCTGCAATTGTGACATGGATGCAGACCCCAAGGGGCTTTTAGGGGACCCTCAGACCCCCATGAATGGCAATTCCCTCTCCATGGGCAGCACCAGCAATGAGGAATGGGGCACAGTTTTTAGTCCTGACGTGGAAGGAAACACCAACAGATGAGTGAGGGGCTTTTGGGGGACCCTCAGCTGCCAGAAAAGGGCGATCCCCTCTCGATGATCAGCAATGAGGGGTGGGCAGGGGCTGCAGTCCTGACATGGAGGGAAACCCCAAGGGGCTTTTAGGGGATCCTCAGCGGCTGGAGAGTGGCAATTCCCTCTCCATGATAAGCACCAGCAATGAGGGATGGGCACGGTTTTTAGTCCTGACATGGATGCAGAGCACAAGAGATGAATGAGGGGCTTTTTGGAGGACCCTCAGACCCCAGAAAATGGCAATGCCCTCTCCATGAGCAGCACCAGCAATGAGGAATGGGCACAGTTTGCAGTCCTGACATGGATGCAGACCCCAAGGGGCTTTTAGGGGACCCTCAGACCCCCATGAATGGCAATTCCCTCTCCATGGGCAGCACCAGCAATGAGGAATGGGCACAGTTTGCAGTCCTGACACAGAGGGAAATCCCAAGAGATGAGTGAGGGGCTTTTGGGGGACCCTCAGCCCCCAGAAAATGGCAATTCCCTCTCCATCATCAGCACCAGCAATGAGGAATGGGCATGGCTTTTAGTCCTGACGTGGATGCAGACCCCAAGAGATGAGTGAGGGGTTTTTGGGGACCCTCCCCACTGCTGTGTGCCCCTTTTGCTGCCCTTATCTCCCCGTGCATCCCCATCCTCTGCCATCTGAGCGCTGCCACGCTCACCTTGCACATCTCCTGCGTCAGGGAATTCCAGAGGGACAAAGTCAGTGCAGCCGCATCCTTCCCCCCTCCACCATCCCACACCATTTGATCGAGCGCTGACTCGTCCTCCGACGGTGAAACGGGAGGGAAGGAGCTTCCCCAGGGGTGGGAAATGCCCCATCCGGAGCCGCAGGGCTCTGTCTGGCTCTGTCTGGTCCCACCTCCTGAATTACAGGAGCAGCAGTTTCCTCATCGCCTGTAAATAAATAAACCTCATCACCTGTAAATAAATTAATAAATGCTATCATCGATCAGCCGCTGAGCTCTGCCGGTCTGTCCCAGTTCTGGCACCGCCCTCCAGGGCTGTTTGTCACCAGTGTCCAGCCCCTGTCGCTGCTCTGCTGAGATTTCCAGGGCTCCTGAGCTGCTCCATAAATCCCTCCCCGGCTGCTCCAAAGCTGGAGAGGCAAATGCTGGGATGAAGATGCCACCTGCTGGGAGCGGGGCTGGCGTGAAATCTCAAAAATCCCACAGCCCCAATGTGCAGAATCCTTAAAATCCTATAATTCTGTCACTACAATCCCGCCCCGCAGCCTCACCATCTCCCCCTCCCCAAAATCTTATAGCTGTGTTGCGTGGATACCCCAAAATCTCCCAAAAAATCTCCCCAAAATCTCCCAAAAAATCACCCCAAAATCACCCAGGTTACGTGGATACCCCAAAATCACGCCAAAAATCACCCATATAATATGGATACCCCAAACTCACCCCAAAAATCACTGATATCACGTGGATATCCCAAATATCCACAAAATCACCCGAATCACGTGGATACCCCAAAACCACTCCCAAAATCGCCCATATTAAGTGGATATCTAAAATCTCCCCAAAATCAATTAAAAAATCACCCATATCACGTGGATACCCCAAAATCACCCCCAGATCACTCATATCACATGGATACCTCAAAATCACCATAAAAATTGCCCACATCACGAGGATACCCCAAAATCTCCCCCAAATCACCTCCAAAATCACCCATATCATGTGGATGCCCCAAAATCTCCCCCAAAAAATAACCATATCATGTGGATACCCCCAAATCTCCCCAAAAATCACCGATATCATGTGGATACCCCCAAATCTCCCCAAAATCACCCCAAAACCCACCCATATCACATGGATATCCCAAAATCTCCCTCAAAAATCACCCATATCAAGTGGATACCCTAAAATCACCCGAAAAATCTCCCCCAAAAATCACCCATACCACGTGGATACCCCAAAAATCACCCATATCACCTGGATACCCCAAAATCTCCCAAAAAATCACCCCAAAAATCAGCGATATCACGTGGATACCCCAAAATCACCCCCAAAATCACCCATATCACATGGATACCCCAAAATCACCCCAAAAACCCCTGGCTGTGCAGTGCCACAGAATAGCCCCTGAGCTTTGGGATCCCAGGTATTCCAGTTCCTTTAGGGCTATTGCATCTTGAAACAGTTCCCGGGATTTTCAATGGGATTTATTTTTCACTCCCTTTTTCCCTCTTTTTGGGAGAATCAAGCTCTCCCCAGCTCATTTTTTTCCCTTTTCTTTTAAAAATTAGATTGATATTTTAAAGCTCGGGGGTGCAGTGGGGCTGAGGGGGAGGAGGGGGTGCAGGAAGGATTTGGGGGGGGGGGAGCAGGAAGGATTGGGGGGTTCCGGTAATACCGGGGGGTTCCGGGAATCAGGGATCCATCCCGCCACTTCCCTAGCCACGCCCATATCCTTATTTGAGCAAACCACGCCTATTAATTTAACAATGCAAAGTCACGCCCTCTTTTGGCCACGCCCCATCAGCGATTTTCCCCCCTCCGCGTTTCCGCCGCGCGCTGTCCCTTGTCCCCCCTCGGCCGCCGTCGGCGCCGCGGCGCGCGCGGGGGGCGGGGCCGGCGGGTAGGGGAAGATGGCGGAGGCGTCGCCGCAGCCGGGCCGGTTCTTCTGCCATAGCTGCTCGGCCGAGATCGCCCCGCGCCTGCCCGTGAGCGGAGCACCGGGGAGCGCCGCCGGGGAGGGCCGGGAGAGCGGGCAGGGCCGGGTGGCGGCTCCGAGGGGGCGGGCACGTGGGAGCGAGGCCTGAGGGGCCCAGGGGGCCTGAGCGGCCGGGGAGGCGGGGGCTGCCCTGAGGGGCTCCGCCCGTGGCACCGCGGCTCGGGGGCGTTGAGAGGGGCTCGGTAGCGAGCGAACGGGGCTGCGGCGGTGGGAACGGGTCGAGGGGCAGCGGCCGGGCGGGGGCGGCGCGGCGGGAGCGGCCCTCGGGCCCGGTGCGCCCGATTGGGGAGGCCCGAGGCGGTGCGAGCGCTCCGGGCGCCTCACGGGGAACCGGGCTGGGACGGGAGCCGGTCAGACAACAGCCCCGGGCCCGGCTGTGACACCCCCAGGCCGAGCAGCCTGATCCCAGCCGGTACCCGTGAAGCATCGCGGGGTGTGGGGATTTCTGGGGTTTCTCGGGGGTTTCTGGGGTTTCTCGGGGTTTGGGGTTTCTCGGAGCTCTTTCAGGAGGTTTAATGAACGCGATAAAAGCCCGGCCGTGCGGGCGGCTGGGGCGCAGGGAGGTGCACGGCAATACGTGGGTAGAAATGCTGTGTAGGCACCTGGGCAGGTGCTTTAATCACGCACCAAAACGCGGTGTGTGAGTGTGGAGCTTGCCCTGGTGTGGGTGGAAAAGCAGTGTGAGGATGTGGTGGATCAGTCGTTCCCCTGCTTGGCTTCCTGAGGTGTTCAGTGTGGTTTGGAGAGCGCTGCTGGTCTCTTTATCCTGCCCCTTTTCACAGCACCTTGTCCCCAAAGCCATTGCTGGGTGCTGGCACTGAGCTTGAAAAGCCTGTGGGGACAAGCAGAGCTGTCCCTGCCGGGGCTGGCTGCTTTGTGACATGTGATTTGTCCTTTTGCCCTCTCTTTTGGGCCAGGGTGGGCCATGCTGGAGCTCCCAGCTGGTGTGGGAGAGCGAGGGCAAACTCACTGAGCTGTGGGGCCAGGAGGTGACACAGGAAATCTGGTTTTTATTTCTGTTCAAACAGCCCGGGCTGGGCTGGGCTCACAGCTGGTTGTGTGCACATCTGGCTGTGCCAGCTGGGTTTGGGGGCTCAGATCTGTGAGTTTAGGAGCTGGTTTTGGGGATTTAGGTTTCCCTCACCATCTGCAGGCGCAGCAACCAGCGCTGCCAAAGGAGGGACTCAAACAGCCCGAGAAACAACAAACTTTGACGTTTGTGCTGTTCCAGCTGCAGAGGAATGTGCTGATCCCTGTGCTGGGAGCACATAGAGACACACACAGACACACAGCAGCTCCCTGGGCAGGGTGCTCAGGCCATGGCCACTCACCTCATGCCATGTGTGTCCCCACCAGTTTGTGTCACCAATGGGGTTTTAATGGGCAGGGGGTTTTAATGAGCAGGGGGTTTCATGGGCTACAGTTCTCTGTGCTCACCCAGCAGACCCTGGTCTGATGTCAGTGGTGCAGAGATGGTTGTTCCATCTCAGTCCTGTGTGGAAGAAGGAGCAGGCACCTCTCCCATTCTGCTCCTGTATCTCCCTGAGCAGACACAGCACGTTCAGGGGCTCCAAGCTGTGCTCATTCCCTTGGGCCTTATCAGGGTTGGCTCTAGGGCCCAGAGGAGCGACCCCAAGGGCTTTATCAGCCTCAGCTCCTTGGGGGAATCCCTCAGTCTGGCTCAGGGCTGTGCCAGTTCCAGCACAGCAGCAAAAGGAAGTGGCAAACATTATTTTTAGAAGCTCTTAAATGCCTTCTGTGCTGAGCCTGGCTGTGCCAGCACAGGGATTTGGGGTGGTGTGGGGCAGGGGATGGCATTGGCTCTGTGCTGCTTCTTGAAGTGAAGTGAAACAGTTCCATTTCAGGATCTCCAGTGTTCTGGGCTGGTTGTAGAGGATAAATTCCTCCTCACTAAGCCCAGAATTGTGAGGAGGTGGCTGTGCAGGGGCTGCACACTCAGCCTGTGTGTCCTGGCACGCTCAGGGATGGTGACAGATCTCTGTAGTGAGCTCTGGGTGTGGGAGTGTGAGGTCCTGGCTGTCCCCGTGGGCTGTGAACCCCAGGCTGTGTCAGTGAGCACCACAACCTCACCAAATCCCTGCTGCCATTCCCATGTTGGCCCAGCTCTGTGTTTTGGGGAGCAGGACACAAAGTTTGTGGGTTTGTTGTGCAGGGAGCCTTGGGGGTTTCACTTTCACTTCACTGGAGCTGCATCAGCTCTGTCTGTACTGGGGGTTAATCAGCATCACCCTCATCACGCTTAAGCTGAGCTCCCACAGGTCTGGCTGAGCTCTGGAAGGGAAATGTTGGGCTTTGGGGTCTCTCTGGCTCTGGGACTGTTGCATGTGCACCCTCCCACCCTGTCACAGCCTTCAGCTCTGGGGTGCCACCTCCTCCTCTCACCCAGTGTGTGTCTTCTCCTGCAGGACTACATCTGCCCACGGTGTGAGTCTGGTTTTATTGAAGAGCTTCCTGAGGAGCCAAGGTACTGTGCTGCCCCAGGGCTGCTGCTCCACTGAGCCCACGTTGCTTTGCTCCCTTCCTAGTTCAATGTTTGCTATAAAATGCACTGTTTTATTGCTTCTGCCCCAGCTTCAGCTCAGTTTTCCTCACTTTTGGAATCCATTGCTTTGTTGGCTCAATTTGCACCCATGGGCCAATCTGAGCAATGCTGAGTGTCCACAATGTCTCTGCTGAGGGGTGGGACAGGAATGGTTTGGTTTCAAACAAACATAAAGAAGTGCTAGGGAGGTTTTCCCCGTGCTGTGTGGTGGCTCTGACCTGATCAGGGCAGAGATAACCCCAGACAGAGGTTTCTAGTGCTTCTGCCCCAGCTTTAGCTCATTTTTCCTCACTTTTGGATTACTGTGCTTTGTTGGCACAATTTGCACCCACAGCCCAATCTGCCATGGCAATACTGAGCATCCAGTGTCTCTGCTGAGGGGTGGAGCAGGAATGGTTTGATTTCAAACAAATATAAAGAAGTGCTAGGGAGGTTTTCCCTGTGCTGTGTGGTGGCTCTGACCTGATCAGAGCAGAGATAACCCCAGACAGAGGGATCTGGGCATGGTGAGTGCATGAACACCTCAGTGTAAGCAGTGACTGTGCTGGGAATGAACAGTAAAATGTTGTGGCTGAGACTTTGGACTCTGCCCTGGAGCAGTGAGGTCTGTGTTCCTGTGCTGCTCTGCTGCCACTGGTGGCAGAAGCAGCAGGAATGTCTTAAAATGTTTCATTTTGTGTTTGTGAGGCCCCAGCTGTGACTGGCAGCGCAGGGGCCAGGGGCAATGGGTGTTGCTGCCTGCTGATTGTGCTGCATGGCCTGGGGCTTCTGCACTGAGCAGGTGATGGTTGGTTTGATCACCAGCCCTGGAGCCAGAAAATCCATGCTGGCTGATCCTGACTGTTTTGGTGATTCCCTGTGACCTTGGGAGAGTCCCATCTTTGCTGAATCTCAGTGGTTTCAGTACCATGAACTTGGTTCTGAGCAGGAAATGTTTCTGCAGCTCTGAAAGCAGAAGTCTGACAAGAATTAGAGTTTTCCCAACATCCTGAGCTGTTTGGTTGTATGCCTCTGCAGTAGAGAAGTTTCTTTGATTCAAGATCAGACTTCTGTGTCTTGGGGTCACAGAGATCAGCGTTTGTGCTTTAAGTCTTCCTGGTGCTCTGCAGGATTAGCTGCTGTGTTTGAGATGGATTGTGGGGCAAATCCTTGCTTGACATCATGGCTCAGGCACTTCTGTGCAGCCTGTGGGATCTAATAGAGTAGGGAGAAATGGGTGAGGGTGTGGGAAAGTAAAAGATTCAGAGAGGGAAAATTGATAGAGGCAATCAGAAAATCAACAGCTGAGGGAGGACAAGGCTCTGTTGAGCTGCCTCTGCCCTGGGATGGGAGAGGGGGGCAGAAAAGCCTTGGAGGCTGCTGTGAGAAGATTACCAGTGCTCTTCATTCTCCACAGGAATGCTGACAATGAGACCAGCTCCTCCACGTCAGCCCCTGATCAGAGCAGGCATCCTTTTGAGGTGAGCAAGTCCTTTCTCTCCTCCACCACCTTCTGCTTTGCTCTTGGATTGAGTGTTTTTCCAATAGTGCATTGTTTAAACATTTCCCACATCATGACAGAACTTGGAAAGGGGGAATTCATATCCTCCACATGCTGCTCCTGAAATCTCCACATCCCATATTTTTGCTGTGTGTGTTCCATGGGACCATCACTCAGCTGATTCCAGTTGTGAGGGGGCTCAGCAGGATTTGGGTGTGTTGCTATGCAGTAGCCTCAGCTTGGAAGCAGCAGTGACACACCAAAGAAAAACCAGGGAAATGTGATCATTTCTGCCTTTGTGTGCAGTTCCAGTGTCTGTTCCTCACTGAGCTGCTGCTGAGGGCGCTGATCCCAGTGTCACCCCAGGCTGTGACATCTGTGTGCCACCTGAGCCTGTTGGCAGCTCCTGCTTTTGGGGTGTGTTTGGAGGTGTTTTAGCTGGGTGTGACATGGACTCTGCTTAGCAGTTTGTCCTCTAGTAGGAGAATATTCCCTGCTCATTGCCAGGTGTTGCAGAAATGTACTTGCTGTGAGGGGAAGCAGAAGAGGACATCAGACAGTGTGGAAGTGCATCCTATCAGGAATTGCCATCATGTCAGGAATTGTCCCCTTATGAATCACTTTGATCCAAGCATCCCAGAACTTTTAGGGGCTGTGATTTGGAACTGACCTTTCCATTTCACTACAAACTATTTACTCCAGTCACTCATATTAGAGAAAATATTAGCACACATGTATTTACTCATAGACTTTAGAACTGCTGCTGCAGGTATGTCATGTTCCAATTAGAGGTGGTCATGAAGAGCAATGTCAGAGTGAGAGCGAACAAGTTATGGGTGTTGGGTCAAGTGTGGCAGACTGCAGGGGCTGAGGTGGAGGTGGCCAGCAGCATCTCTGTCCTATTCTGAATTTTACATCACTCACTTGTAATTAATAGAGAGGCTTGCCCTGCTGCCTCAGGGGGCTTTTTCCTTCCATCCAGCTTTTGCAATTTGAAAGCTGAAGAAGGGGGAATCTGGGAATCTTCTCCTTGAAGAACAGGGCTACCAGATTGCTGAGCTGACTGCCAGCTCATGCTGGGCACTGATTGAACATGGCGAGCCAGTTCACCTCCACAAGTCTTTATTGTCGTTCCTGTTGTCACAATCTGTTCTCTGCATTCCCTCCCTCCCTCCAGAACGTGGATCAGCACTTGTTCACCTTGCCCCCGGGCTATGGCCAGTTTGCTTTCGGCTTCTTTGACGACAGCTTTGAGTTTCCCTTCGGGTCCAACGTGCAGCAGGCAGAGGACAACCGGGACTCGGAGAACCGGCGGGAGCGCGAGCACCAGTCCCGGCACCGCTACGGCGCCCGGCAGCCCCGCGCCCGCCTGGCCACGCGCCGAGCCTCGGGCAGGCACGAGGGAGTGCCCACGCTGGAAGGGTGAGAACCACTCTGGCACCTCAGGGGGGATCCTTGGTGTTCCTCACCTTTCCTCCTGGTTTGTTGGAGCGGCATCCCAAAGATCTCCAGCGCTGCTGTGGGTGATGTCTGTGTGCCGCCTGAGCATGTTGGCGGCTCCTGCTTTTGGGGTTTGTTGGGGATGTTTTAGCTGAGTGGTGACATGGACTCTGCTTAGGAATTTGTCCTGTAGTGAGAGAATATTCCCTGGTCATTGCCAGGTGTTGCAAAATTGTTGTACTTGAAGAGAACAACAGGCACTGTTTGTGTAAGTGCATCTTGGGAGCCACTCACCATCATGTCAGGATTTGTCCCCTTATGAATCAAATATTGAGACTTTATCAGTGGCTGATCACTCCCTAAGCTGCCATTGCAATTGCTGGAGGGTATTTTTGCCATCTGTGTCCCACCTGAGCCTGTTGGGATCTGTTTGGGGTTTTTTTAGCTGGGTGTGACATGGACTGTGCTTAGGAATTTGTCCTCTAGTGGGAGAATATTCCCTGGTCATTGCCAGGTGTTGCAAAATTGTTGTACTTGCTGTGAGGGGAAACAGAAGAGAACACCAGTGTGGAAGTGCCTCTTAGGAGCCACTTGCCATTGTGTCAGGAATCGTCCCCTTATGAACAAGAAGCTCTTAAAAGAGAGCTCTTAAAAGTTTCAAATATTGAAACTTTATCAGTGGCTGATCACTCCCTAAGCTGCCATTCCAGTTGCTGTAGGGTATTTTTAATTGTCCCAGCCTGAGCCTGTTGGGGTCTGTTAGGGGTGTTTTAGCTGGGTGTGGCATGGACTCTGCTTAGCAGTTTGTCCTCTAGTGGGAGAATATTCCCTGGTCATTGCCAGGTGTTGCAAAATTGTTGTACTTGCCATGAGGGGAAACAGAAGGAAACACTAGACAGTGTGTAAGTGCATCTTGGGAGCCACTCACCATCATGTCAGGAATTGTCCCCTTATGAATCAAATATTGAAACTTTATCAGTGGCTGATCACTGTCTAAGCTGCTATTGGAATTGCTGTAGGGTATTTTTAATTGCCCCCAACAAAGTGACAGTATTCAGCTTGCTCAGCCTCTCCCTCCACACTGGGGTGCTGGGCTGGGAGCCAGCAAACTTTAATTCTCACACAATCCTGGTTTTCTTGTCTTTCAGAATTATCCAGCAGCTGGTCAATGGAATTATTGCACCGACCACAATTCCAAACCTAGGCCTGGGCCCTTGGTGAGTTGGAGGATGTGCTGCTCTCTGTGACAGTGTCTCCTTGGTGCTCCAGGATGAACTCACTTGCTGTCCTTGCTCCTCAGGGGAGTCCTGCACTCAAATCCGATGGACTACGCCTGGGGTGCCAACGGCCTGGATGCGATTATCACACAGGTAAAACTGGGATTCCCTGCAGCTCCATCCTCCTGTGCAGTGCTGCAGGAGGGGCAGCACCTCTGGGGGTGCAGGGAACGAGGGGCTGGGGGACTGAAATGGGAAAGGATCCACAGTGGTCATTGCCAGGTGTTGTAAAATTGTTGTACTTGCTGTGAGGGGAAACAGAAAAGAACACCAGACAGTGCTTGTGTAAGTGCATCTAAGTCCAGGTGCCCTGGCTCAGGAAACGAGTGGATTCTGTGTGCTGCTGAGCTCACCTCTCTGTTCTGCCTGCCTGGCTGGTTGTTTTTCCAGTTACTGAATCAGTTTGAAAACACTGGACCGCCACCAGCGGACAAAGAGAAGATCCAGGCCCTCCCCACCATACAGATCACACAGGAGCACGTAGGTACGTGTCTGCTCCATGGAGTTGTGCTCTGGAAGCCCTCTGTAATACTTTCTTGAGACTTAAAATTTGTCTGTTTGTACCTTTGAGGCATAAAACATTTCAAAGCTGAAGGGGCTCTGTTACACTCACACAAAAAACGAGCAGTGTAGGTTGGACAGATTTGCTCTGGGGAGGTTTTGAGAAGTTCAGTGTGGACAGAGATGAAAAAGCAGAAGGGAAAGCAAGGATGAGGCATAGCCTGGGCAGGGGGAGGTGGGATGATGGTGTGGAGAGTGTAGAGCTCCAAGCTTTCCTCCTGACAGGAATGGTGTGGGGACTGCAGAGCCCCAAGCTTTCCTCCTGACAGGAATGATGTGGGGACTGCAGAGCTCCAAGCTTTCCTCCTGACAGGAATGGAGCAGTGGTAGGGAAGGGGAGAGGGATGACAAGTCCTGAGTCAGGGGCTTTGCACCTCATCCTCTCCTTGTTTGCTCAGCTGGGCTTGGCTTTCCCTGTGCCATGCAGATTCCGGGTTGGAGTGCCCTGTGTGTAAGGAAGATTACACAGTCGGGGAGAACGTGCGGCAGTTACCGTGCAATCACCTGTTCCACGACGGCTGCATCGTCCCGTGGCTGGAGCAGGTGAGTGCCTGGGGCCTGCAGCACTGGGGGCTTTGTCTGCTCCTGCTCCCCTCTGTAAATATTTTCCTACCTCCACGATGAGGCCTGAGCACCTGTGGTCAGAGGATGGAGTGTCATCCCAGCCCATTCCTCGAGTGCTGCTCCCCTGTTGTGTTTCTAATCCCGTTTCCCCTATTTCTTGTTTTGTTTTTTTTTTTTGTCTGCTCCCCAAAGCATGACACGTGTCCTGTCTGCCGGAAAAGTTTAAGTGGACAAAACACTGCCACAAACCCCCCAGGACTCACAGGGATGAACTTCTCGTCATCCTCCTCCTCCTCCTCTTCCTCCAGCTCACCAAGTAATGAAAACTCATCGAACAACTCATGAATCTTAACACACCCTCTGTCCCCGGGGCCCTTCCACTGTTCCCCTTCCCTCCCTGGGCACCATGAGCGGCCAAAGGGGCTTCCAGAGCAGAGCGAGGGGAGGGGACGAGGCAGGAGCAGTGCCCCCAGAATTTCCTTTTGATTTCTGAAGACACGGAGCCTCTGGGTCCTTCAGAGATGAGAAGCCTCAAGTTCTGTGATGAAAAAAGGGGGGAAAAGAGCTCTGTCTGTCAATAAAAACATCCTCTTTGCGTGGACTTTACCCATTGCAGTGCGAGGCTGCTGCGCTCCCCGGCTGGGAACCCCGAGGTGCTGAGCGAGTGGTTGAATCCCGAATGGAAATGTTGTTTGTATGGGTTTGAATTTGAGATCCCTTTCTTTTGATTTCTTTTGCTCCTCCTCCCCTTGGATACTATCTTTTTTCTGCTTTGGAGATTGACGTCTAAAATGGAAATATAAGGATGCTGCCTCCCCCCCCGCCCCAGGATCACCAGCTGGGGAGGACCAATAGCTGTCACTGAAACAGGAACTCTCAAGTAGACCCCGGGATCCTTCCCTGTCCCATCTCGAGTCCCTTTTATTTCTCTTTATAACCTCGCCCGCTGATACTCAACACTGAAAGGGGTTTTTATAATCTTAAATTATTACTGTTGTCAATAAATGGACATTTCAGCTCTGCGAGCCATTATGCATGATTTGAGGAAAGCTACAGGGTAAGCTCTGAGGCCACCAAGCTGTCCTGCCTTCCCCAGGGGCAGGCTGGGCCTCTCTGAGCCCTCCTGCGTGCTGGGAGTTGCTGTGGGAGCCACTGCCAGCCTGTGGATCACTGCACAGGCAGCCAAGGATCGCAGCTGGAATCATCCTCGCCTGGTGTTTTCTATTTTTTACACGTTTTTCCCCCCTTACAGTCCTGCCCCCCTCCTCGCAGCTGGGGCAGGCTGTTCTGCTGGGCCGACACAGGACTGGGTGTGCAGCAGAACGAGGACCAGCAAATCTCATTGTGACCGAGTAATTACCAGGAAAACAACATTTTGGAGAGAAAAAAAAAAATGTATTGCAAAGCTACTTAAAATAGAGCTGATTAAAACAAGGAGAGAGAGAAAAAATATCCAGGTATGTTTGTGACTCAGTTTCTGTGACAGAGCTGGAGCTCGGAGAATGACAAGAATGTCACCAGAGAGGGCAGTGACTCCCTGCCATGTCTCTGCTTCCTGGACCCTGAGGCATGAGAGGAGAAGCTCTCACGGTCATCACTGGGAGCCCCTTTTCCTCACAGGGACCTGAGGTGGTCAGGAGGTTTCCTGGAGGGCTGGGGGTCTGATGGTGCCACATTTGGGACTGCTCTGTGGCAGAGACCAGAGCAGATAAGGGCGAAGCTGTCCCCATGGGAGAAGTGGGTGGAGGGTTTGGCAGTTTGGGGGGTTCCCTGCCTCTCCCTCAGCTTTTGGGGCTGCTGGGGAAGGTGCTTGCTCCAGCAGAGCTTGGGTGTCTCTTCTAAAGCAGCATCACCCAGCACCTGGCTCCCTTCCATGAGCTTCCTGAGAAGAGATGAACCTCCTTGGGTGTCTCTTCTAAAGCAGCATCACCCCAGGGTCTGACCCCCTTCCATGAGCTCCCTGAGAAGAGATGAACCTCCTTGAGGAGGGGGAAGGATGGTTTGGTCTTTCTTGAGCCATTTCAGGACACAAGAAGTTGGTTTGTTGGAGAAAGTGTCCCCAGCTGTGTGCCAGGGCCAGGGGCTGGCAGGGAGCGACTTGCCCGGACTGTTTTTCTTCCTCGGCTTGGCCGGGCAGTGTGGCGGCGCCTTTCATCTCCCAGGAGGGTTTATCTCAGGACTGGTGTGTCGGGGTTAATGGCTCATCCTCTGCCAGGGGTTGAGCCACAAGCCTGGGCTGCTGAGGTGGGTGGCAGCAAAGAAGGTCCCAGCTGAACCTGCACGTGTCCATCGGCTGACCTGACACCGAGGAAAGGCTTTGCTGTTTAGTCACCAAAACAAGAGACCTGGAAAATCCTTCCCTCTCCCACTCTTTCAGCTGTGACAGGGGGATCCTGGCTCCCCCAGGTGCTAGGGGATGATTTCTCATGTGTGAGCAGCGCTCAGATGGGTTTCAAGTGGGCTGAGCAATGTCCTGGGTGGGTGCATGGCGGGTGCTGCCCACCTGGCAGGGGCTCACCACGGTCAGCACATGGTTAATACAGTGCCTGTTCCCTCTCAGACTCATTTGGAGCTGGTTGGGTCAGAAATGGAACGAGTTTGGTGGTTTTTGCTGGGGCCATTGCTCTGTCTGACGTGACAGTGACCGGGATGCTGGGCCTGGCCTGGTGCAGGGATTTACCCTGGCCAGGACAGAGGTGCAGGAGCTATTCCTGGCCATGCTGCCCTCCAGCTGGGGAGCTGCTCCTCCCCACTGTCCACTGTCCCAGCTGTTTTTGTTGGGGATGAGGATGCAGAGCTGGGCTGCAGGACTGGCTGTGGCCAGGGACAGCCCTGGAGCTGTGTCTGCCTGAGGATCTGGGCTGGCCCCTGCTCCCTCCTTTGTGCCACTGAAGCACCGTGGCTGTTTTCCTGCAGGGTGGGCGGGGGTCAGTGAAAAGCTGGATGTGGCAAAGGACCAGCTGGGCTCCCTGCCAGTGGCGGCAGTGACACTGGTGGCTGCAGCCACAACCACACGGAAGCCAATCCCTCCCACCCCAAGCCAAGTTCACCATCAAAGCTCCAAGACCTGCTCCTGTTCCATACCACGAACACAGCTTTAATTGCCACGGAAGCTCGGACACAGACACCCTGCTGGAACATCCCAGCCCTGCAGAGATGCCATGAGCAGATCCTGGCCCCTGCTCCAGTCGTGTTCCCCACACCAGCCCTGTGCCAGGCTGTCCTGGTTTAGGGCAAACTTGGGAACACTGGGAGAACCACAGCCCTGCACGGCTGAGCCTGGAGCATCTACCTTCCACATCCCTCTGCCGTGCGCTAAAAATAAAGCAATAAATAGCAAAAAATAGATATGTACATAAATAAAAACATTTTTGTTTGTTTTTTTCTTTCTTTCTTTCTTCCTACAGGACCGTCTGGAGCTGCCCACGGCGTTCAGCTGACGAGCATGGGGAGGAAGTGTGTGGAGAGGTGCTGCCGGCTCGTCCTGCCCCCTCTCTGTGGCCGGCCCTTGCTGTTGAGCGACAGGAACATGGGGCGGCCGCGATGCCGCCAGCGCAGCGACGCGTACGTGTTGTAGCCGTTCTCCTCGATGCGCTCCGTGAACTTGCAGTTGGGGCTGAACTCCTTCTGGCAGGAGAGGGAAGGGGGTGAGGAGGGGTGGCTCTGCTCAGCTGGAGCCCCTCGCACCCCAAGAGTGCGGCAGGGCAGGACCTTGGCTCCTCCCTGGGGGCAGAGGGGCTGCACTGGGTGCAGGTGAAGGAAAGCAGGAGCCTGTTGCGAGCCTGCCCTGAGCCTGTGACTCTGGAGCAGTCCCTGCCAGGAGGCAGCGTCCGACCTACCGACCCGTAGAGCCTCCCGCGCTTGTTCATGGCCAGGTAGAAGCCGGTGTGCACCGCCCGGATGGCCACGACGCCGACACGAACCGACCGGATCTCAACGATGCCTGCGGGCCAGGGAAGCGCGGCGTGAGCCAGGGAGGGACAGGCGACCTTCCCTGCCCCTGCTGGCTCTGTGGGCACAGTGTCCTCCTTCCAGAGGGAGGGAGTTGCTGCAGCCCAAGCTGGGAGTGGGAGGAGGAACTTCTGATCCAAGCAAGGTTTGATCTTTACTCCTCTCCTCCCCAGGGTCCAGCCACTTCCCAGAAGCGGGAGGGATGCCAAGCACAAGCTGGTGTGTGTCCTGCCCTCCCTGGCAGCTCTGCCCGTTCATCCATCCCCAGCACGGTGCCCGCGGTGCCCCGGGGCCCTGACCCGCCTCCCGCAGGGCCAAGTGGGCACGGGGGTGGCAGCGACAGCACTCATCCTGTTATTGTGGACGAAGGCACACAGCAGAGCTCTGTGGGGCAGGAATAAGCCAGGACAGTGCTGTCCATGGATGCCCGATTTCCTGGTGGAAAGTGAGGACAAGCAGCCCCATTCCCAGCGCTGTGAGCACTGAGGATGAGCCCAGGGGGCGGCTGTGAAGCCACAGCTGGGCTGGCGTGTGTGTGCCCCGACCGCCGAGCTCCGGCTCGGCCGCTAATGGGAAAGGCATGCGGTCAGACCAGCGGCTCTGGCACGGGGAAACACCCAGAGCATCATCGGGGCCTCTGGATTCCTGCACTGCCTCACGCCGGCCGGCCCCGAGCGCTGCTGCCCGCCAGGCACGGAGGGAAGGGGAGAAGGAATGTCCAGCGATGTGGGCAGGGCAGCAGAAAGCGCTGGAGCCGCAGCAGGATCGGCCACTGGGCACCACTGCAGGGCTGGACCGGGTGGGAGGGACCCTGCAGCCCCTGGGCAAGGGGTTTTCATCAATCTCCTGGCATCGCTGGCATTCCCTGGGCATCACCTGCCTGCGGGAGGCTGGGAACGGGCAGGGTGGGTACAGCACCGGGGCAGCGTTCGGCTCCCCCGGGATTTCCAGCCCTGCTGCCACGGGAAGAACTGACAGGGCACTGACAGCGAATGCCTGTGAATCCATCCCACTTGATCGCTGTCTGAAGCTGCTGCTATTTATAAGGACTTGTGCTTTTCTAAAAATAACCCCCTTCTGTTCCCAGCGCTCTGCCGCCCTTTGTTTGCAGGTGCCTGCCCAGTACCTGGCCAGAGCCAGCTCCCAGTGCTCCCAGTCTCACACTCAGCCCCAAAAGGGTCTCAAAGAGGATGGGGCAGATGCAGAGCTTGAGGTGGGGGAGTCCCTGGAACATCCCCTGCCACCCCAGAGCTGCCAGTGGGGCTGGTCCAGCAGCTTCTGTGACGGCTGTGGAGCAGAGCCCAGCCCAGGCGCTCACAGATAAGCAGAGTGAACCTCGTGTACAGCCCGGAGCTGCTCTGCCTGCCAGCTCCCATGGCCACACCATGGAGGGAACGTGTTGGGGTGCTTTGTGCTGGCACCGTGCCTGCTCGGGACTCCCGACAGCCTCCGACACCGCAGGAGGGTTCCCTGGGCTGGGCTGGGCTTGGCTGCCGTGTCCTGGGGCTGTGCTGGAGCAGGACATGGGCTGGGGGTGCTGCAGCCCTCCTGCCCCAAACCCCAACACCCTCTCAGGGCATCTTTTCCAAGATCCCTCTCCTTGTCCAGCTGCTGTCCTGCCAGCCTGCTGCCCTCATCCCTGTTCCAGGAGCTCAGACCCTGCACCCCGATGGGATACCTAGGCATTTGCAGCCCTGCCACGTCCTTGGGGACTCTGTCCCTCTGCCCACCCTGCTGTCTCGAGTCCCAGCCTGCTCTGCTGCTCCATGGTCCCCTCTGACAGGGATGTTCTGCTGTCCCACATCGGATAGATGTCCCATTCTGGGACCAGCATCACCGCAAAGCTTCCTACATCCCCCCTCCTCCTCCTCAGCCTTCCTCCCCCCACAGGGGGAACGATCAGATCCTCCAGTCCATGGGGAAGGCAGGGCAGGGGGACATCGTGAACCGGCAGGAGGAGATGGGACAAAGGACCCCCGAGAGACCCCCTAGGACACCCAAGCCGCTGGGAAAGCACCGCCGGGTGCCCGGGCAGTGCCCGTCGGTGCCCGCGCCCCTCTCACGGCTCCCACGGTGCACTGACGGGGGCAGCCGGTGCCGGTGGCGCTCCCGGAGCGCCGGGGGACAGCGGGGACAGCGAAGACCCGCCGCTCTGGCGCTCCCGTAGGACCGGGCACTGAGATTCCCCAGAGGGAAGAGGCGCGGGCTCTACCCGGGCCGGGCATGGAGGGTCCCGTCGCCGACCCGAGGCGCCTCCGCCGCAGCCCCGACACCGGCGGGATCGCGCTCTCGCCCGCCGTGGGCGGGGGGCGGCCCCAGATCCCGGCTCTCCCCCGTTCCCGTTCCCGGTCCCGTCCGCACTCACTGCCCGGCCGCTCCCTCCAGCGCGTTCCCTCCACGCCGCCGCCGCCGTCGATGCGCAGGAAGAAGCGGGTGGCGGAGAAAAGCCGCCGCCAGCGCACGTCGCCCTCCAGGTGCCCGTAGCTGCGCGGGGGCCGCCGGCCGGTCCCGGTGGCACTGCCCGCTCCCGGTCCCGGCCCCGCCAGCACGGCGAGAGCCCCGGCCAGGCAGGCGGCGATGGCGGCGGGGCCCCCGCGCCTCATGGCGGCGGGCGGCGGGCGACAAGCGGGCGACGGGCCATGGGCCATGGCCACGGCGGCGACCGGCGACCGGCCCCGACGGCGCGAGCGGCCGGGATGGGCGGCCCGGGGCGGGGCGGTGGCGGCGAATGGGCGGGGCGGGGGCCGGGGCGGTGCCTCCCATTCATAAATCGGGGCCCCGACGGCTGCCCCGGGTCACTCACTGCCCGCGGTCACTCGCCCACCACCGCGGGGACAGCACAGTCCGGTATCCGCCGTCTGCCGCGATGGGCGGGCACGCAACCAGAGCCGCGGGCACGGAGCGCGGGGAGAGGCGGAGGGCGCGGGGCTGCTGTGGCTCAGAGGATGGCGTCCATCTGTGGTCCGATTTGAGACCTGGAAAGGGCTGGAAAGGCGCGGGTCAGCCGGGCTCCACCGTTTTCCCCGGCTCCGCCACCTCCCGGAGCCTCCGCCGCGTCCCGGGATCCGCGCTCCTCCCGTCCCACCCCGTCGGGGCCGCCGCGGCCGCCAGGGGGCGCAGAGCGCGGCCGCGCTGCACCATGGGAGTTGTAGTCCGGCGCGGCGGGACTCGCGCTCCCGCCGGGCCCCGCGGCGGCGCGGCGCATGCGCGGGGACGCGCGGCGCGCGTGGCCCGGGGATGTCGCTGCTGAGGTTGCGGGCGGTGCTGAGGGGCCCGGGCGGGCTGAGGGGGCCCGGTGAGCGGGAACGGGGACCGGGGGGACACCGGGGCTCCGGGGGGCATGGGGGGACCGGCGGGGACACCAGGAGAGCGGGACACGGGCGGAGTATGCGGGCGGAGCTGGGCCGGGACGCCCCACGGTGCTGAGCGTTCTGTGGGATACACCTGGAACATGGGGGGCGCTTTTTGAGTCGTGAGCACCCCAGGGGTAGAGTGGGCGCTGTGGAAGTGCTGGGATGTTGTTGCTCTTTCGGGAGCTCTGGGTCGTGTTCCAGCTATGGGATAGCACCCACATGCTCTGGGGGTCTCGGGGTGCTGCCACCCCATTGACAGCGCTGGGGTTTGTGATGTCCCTGGGGTCGTGTTCCTTCTGAGCCTCTGGTTCCTGAGGGTGAGGGGTGGCCCTGTCCCTCCTGTGCTGCTGCTGGAGCAGCTGAGCTGAGGAACATCCCTCACTCACCCTGTCCGTGCTGGGGCCATGGGGGACAGGGAGTGTTTGAAGGTGTGGAGCTCCCTCTGACCCCCCACACCTCTGCGTTCCTCATGGCAGGGATTCCATGGAGAATCTTCAGGAGCTACTCCTCTGCCAGCACCAAGGAGAAGGCGAACAGAAATGTTCCCTGTGAGAGGACAGAGCTGCTGGAAGGTGAGTGCTGGGAGAGATGCAGTGAGCAGACAGCAGGCAGAGCAGCCTGGGCTGTTGCTTTTTCCCTGACAGTGACACTGCTGGGCTCCAGGGATGCTGGGCTGGGTTCCTGGCATGCTGGGGTGGGTTCCTGGGATGCTGGGATGGGTTCCTGGGATCCTGGGGTGCATTCCTGGGGTGCTGGGGTGGGTTCCTGGGGTGCTGGGGTGGGTTTCTGGATGCTGGGGTGGGTTCCTAGGATGGGGTTCTGGGATGGGGGTGGGTTCCAGGGATGCTGGGATGGGTTCCTGGGATCCTGGGGTGCATTCCAGGGGTGCTGGGGTGGGTTCCTGGGGTGCTGGGGTGGGCCCCAGCTTGCAGGTAGATCTCAGAAAGACAGAGATTGGTGTCTCTGTTTTGGAGCCAAGGAGGGATGAAATTCTTGTGTGAGCCCTTTTTTTGAGCACAATCCTGGTGCTTCCAGGGTGAGGACAGGACAGAGATTTTTGCTGTGCCCTGTCTCCCATCACCTCTCTGTTTCCCACTAGTGCTGAAGGCTCGAGCCAAGCAGCTGCAGGGCAGTAACGTCCCAGAGGTGACAGTCAGCAAAGTGGAAGTGGCTGCACTGGACAATGACAAGTTCCAGGAGGCTGTGGTCCCTGGCCCCAAGGAGAAGCAGCCCATTCCCAGGGCACAGGGTGATGGCCTGGCTCGGTCCAGCAGCTGGGCCAAAAAGCTGCAGAAGGAGATGAACAGCCAGCAGCCAAAGATGAAGCAGGAGTTGGGCAGTGCTGCCTCCCAGCTGGCTCTGGAGAGCCAGGCCAAGGCAGAGGCCACACCCAAAACAAAAGCCATGAAGAGCCCAAAGGTCCCAAAGACAAAAGCAGCCCCTGCCTGGACCCAGAGCTCTGGCAGCCCCCAAAACAAGGCCAGGGTGGTGGAGGTGAAGGGAGCTGCAGAGCTGCAGAGGCCTCAGAAGATGCCAAAGGACAAGAGCAACCAGCAGGGGCTGCAGCAGACCATCCAGGCCAACCTGGAGTGCTTCCTGTTCCTGCAGCAGGCAGAGGAGGCTGAGAGGTACCTCCTGCTGTGCCACAGCTCCCCCGTGAAGAGGAAGGTGCTGGATGTGGGTGCCTTCAACATCGTCATGCGCATCTGGGCCAGGAAGGTACCAAAGCCTGGGGGCTCCGGGTGGGAGAGGGGCTGGCTCGTGAGGAACAGCCTCCCTGTGCTGGGCACTGCAGCAAGTGGCCAAGCAGGGCTGCTGGCAAGGGGGACTGAGCTGGCATGAGGCCACAGATCCCTGTGAGGTGGCTTTGAGAGGAGTGGGGAAAGGGTAGGGTCGATCTGACTAAATCTGAACAGTAGAGGGGCGTGGAGCTGTGATTTTGGGGCTGTTGGTCTCAATGCACACAGCCTCCTTCCCTTCTCAGTGTCCACAGCCCCTTTCCCTCTCAGCATGCACATCCTCCTTCCCTTCTCAGTGATTCTCTTCTCAGTGACTCCATGGCCTCCTTTCCTTTCTCAGTGGGCACAGACTCTTTCCCTTCTCAGTGTCCACAGCCACCTTTCCTTTCTCAGTGTGCACAGCCTTCTTCCCAATGTCCACAGCCTCCTTCCTTTCTCAGTGTGCACAACCTTCTTCTCAGTGTCCACAGTCCCTTCCCCTTCTCACTCCTTCCTTTCTCAGCGACCCCAGCCTCCTTTCCTTTCTCAATGACCACAGCCCCCTTCCCTTCTTGGTGTGCACAGCCTTCTCCCCTTCTCACTCCTTTCCTTCTCAGTGATCCCGGCCCCTTTTCCTTTTTCCTTTTCCTTTTTCCTTTTCCTTTTTCCTTTTCCTTTTTCCTTTTCCTTTTTCCTTTTCCTTTTTCCTTTTCCTTTTCCTTTTCCCTTTTCCTTTTCCTTTTTCCCTTTCCTTTTTCCCTTTCCTTTTTCCCTTTCCTTTTTCCCTTTCCTTTTTCCTTTTCCTTTTTCCTTTTCCTTTCCTTTTCCTTTCCTTTTCCTTTTCCTTTTCCCTTCCCTTTCCTTTTCCCTTCCCTTCCCTTCCCTTCCCTTCCCTTCCCTTCCCTTCCCTTCCCGGAACCTTCCCGGAACCTTCCCGGAACCTTCCCGGAACCTTCCTTTCCCTTCCCGGAACCTTCCCTTCCCAGTGACCCCAGCCCCTTTCCCTTCTCAGTGTGCACAGCCCCTTTCCTTTCTCAGTGACCCCAGCCCCCTTTTCCTTCTCAGTGACCCCATTTTCCTTCCCCTCTCTCCTGCAGGGCTGTTTGAACCGCCTGGACCGATTGTTTTCCATCCTGGAGGCTGCAGGTCTCCAGCCCAACCTGGACTCCTACGCCACGGCCCTGGAGTGTGCAGGCCGGAGCCAGTCACCCCCCAAAGCCGTCCTGAGGTAACACCTGCCTCAGGAGCTCCACATGCTGGGAGATGCACAGGGTTGGGGTCAGGAAGAGCTGTCCCCTCTGTGAGCCCACCTGGATGCTCTGAGCCACTTCTCATGGCCAGATTTTGGGGTGGGTGGAGCACATTCCCTGCCACCCCCACTGCTGGGGAGTTTGTCTGAGGTTGTGCAGGGAGAGGAGATGTGGAAGGTGAGAGCAGGCACTGTTCCCCCCAGAGCTGGGCTGGGAGAGGTCCTTTCCAGTCAGGGATTCCTTGGTTCCACACCCATCCCAGGCATCTCACTTCTGCTCCCTCAGTTGCTGCCTGGTGACAATGGCTTGTCTCCTTGGTTTGTTTATGGCTCCTTGGTTTGTTTTTATGGCTCCTCTGTTTGTTTTTATGGCACTTCTGTGGGATTTGCCCATTTTGGTGGGCTCAGTCACACAGCTGGTTCCTGCAGGGCTCTCCAGAGGAGCTAGGTCAGGAGATTTAAGTAGATTTTATAGAGCATAATGGACAGGAAAGTGTCAGTGCTACAGATAGCAAGGTTGTAGATGGTAGATTTCATGGACAGGAAAGTGTCAGTGCTAAAGGGAGCAGCTGAAAGAGCCCTGGAAGATCCCACAGGCTGGGCCTAGGGGCAGTGCCTGGGGCTGGAGGCACAGCCAGCTCCTCTCAGAGGATGGAGAAAGCTTCTGATGCACTCGTGTGAGCCTCAGGGATGTATCACTGCTCTCTGTCCTCTGGCTGCTGACACACTCTAGATGCCTTCAGGGGAATATCTCCAGTCAGCTGCCTCTGAGGGGGCTGGCAGGGGCTGTGCTGGATGTGTGGAGTGTGGCAGGGCAGCACAGGCTGTGGGGCTGCCTGTGGGCAGCTGCAGTGGCCTCCCTGCCCAGGAAGCTCTGCAGCAGTGCAGGCTGAGGGATGGACACCTGATCCCTGTAACCTGAGGCTGCTGGTGACCTTGTGGGACAGGCTGTGCTGAGGCAGCTCCTGTCCAACATGCTCAGGCCCCTGGGGAAGATCCAGCCTGTCCTGTCTGCCCCTCCTCAGATACCTGCAGCAGCTGAACAGCAGTGGCTTCCATGTGGATGAGCTCTTCCAAAAGTGCCTGTTTGAGGAAGATGAGAAGGAGAAGGTGCTGTTTGCCATCAGGACTGTCCAGCCCAACTACCAGCTGCCTCCTCCACCCAGCCCCAAGATCAGCAAGTCTTCTCTGCTCCAGGACTTCTATTCCAGAGTAAGCCACAGTGCTAAGGGAGGTGTTGAAGCTGGCCAGGTGTTCTTAGGTACAGCCCAGGGGAGGGCTAGAAAGAAAAAACCTTTTAACCTGATCTGTGCCCAATAACCCACAGA